CTTATTACTCTTAAAACATATACTTACTTCCCCCGAAAACCACAACCTTGAGTATCAGACATTTTAATCATTTATTTGGTCCTCGGAATGTCGCATAGCTGAATTTACTCATCTTTTTTTCTCGAAGCAGCTAAATCCGGAGAGTTGTCGTCCGTTCTGTTTTCCTCCTACCTCAAAATTTTCAGTCTGCGAATATACAGCCAACAATGTGAACTTATTGAGATTGCCTTTCTTATATGCATCCATACAACCGTGCCATTCAATCATAAGGCTTATCTCTTCCACTGTAAATTGCAATTATTGCGTAACAAAAATGAATCAATTTACCGAACCGATTACCATTCAAGTGCAATAATTGAAGCGATTTATCGCCATCTCACACGGACTGAAACTGTCAAATAAACTTACTAAACAGGAGTACAAGAATCAACACATGCGGTCAGTTTTCTACATTGTCAGTCTAGTTTTTTTAAATTTACACTATCTTGTTTTCACGATGGAACTTGTCTGTTCAAGAAGAACCGGCGAAACCCATATGAAATATATCTGGCTAATAACAAAGTTCGGATAGCGTGAGCGACAGTCTCCACAGTTCAATTGTAAGAATTTTATATTTATGAATCTCCTCTCTATTCCGTGATGCAGACAGGCAGCCAGAAGAGAGCAAACAAAACCACCACCCGAAAGTTTAGTTGAGGATTGTATGAACTGATTTAAGCTTAGCGCACATGTTACCTTGCGGTTTACCCAAAATGGACTGTTGAAGTCGGTTTGCGCCGGGCTTTGAACTTCCTGAGGCAATATCGCTTTTGTCCGACCCAATTTTACACGCAGTTCCAAACTACCGTACACATTGCTGGATCACATTTACTTCTTTTTGTCTTGCGATATGCCCCACAGAGGATTAGACTTTTGATGGTTATTTGACAGGTATTTGGGCACATCCCGTGACTTCTTGGCAGTCTGGGTAAACCAAGTTAAGTAAGCCGGGTTCCTCGGTACATTGCAGGTCACTGCGTGGTCCATGAATGTGAAAAAATAAACGGTTGCCCCGAGTCCAGTTGCATCACTGCAAAACCCTACTGCCTGTTGGGTTACACTTGATCATGTAAATGCGAGAGATGTATTCAGAAATAATAAATCGGTGATGTCACTCTTAGCAAACCCTCTTGGGACTGATACCAGAGAACTGTTCAAATCTCGCGGTGGTTGCATTTCACCAGTCCTCTGGTACCACTCCAAAGAGGGTACGCTAAGAGCGATATATATATATATATATATCACACTTCTGACACCAAACTGTGTGCCAAACAAACCATGGTACAGTAATCTTTATAAAAAACATCGTTCCATGATTTGCGTGTGGCTCTAACACTGCCAGGTTGCTCAGGCCAAGGCAGGTAAATTTTCTTGAGGAATTCACAACTGGAGTCTCCGGCTAGCCTAATCCTGACCCACAAGGCCTCGGGACGATGTGTGAAAACCGCAAACCATTGGGAGCCGGTGTCCAGTTAATCGAATCATGTACCCTTTGGACGGTTTCAAACGTCCAAGGTGCCCAGTACACTTTGATACCCAATCAAGTCGGTGATCGGAAAGGCGTGTGGTTTGCACGCGTTCTCTTGGTTGGTTTGGAATTAGGGTTTTTAGCCAACTCCCTTAGGTGAACTACCGGTGATCCACCAACCCAGATGTCAGCTTTTCTTCCTCTTACTTTTTTGGGGAATACACCTCCGCCACGTGAAGGCTGTGAGTAGGGCTTCTTCAGCAGAGGTTATGTGAGACGCTTGGTCGTATAGGAGCATTTCGCCAGACACAAGGGACGGGTGACCTGCCGCAACCCGAGACATCCACCCCCTACCATACTGAGGCTTTCGGAGGCAGGATGGTAAACAAAATCGTTTTCAGTTATTCGTACTCATGCCATTCAACAGGAACAGAAAGAATAAGAAAATACAGTTCAAACAGTTCAGGGCTGGTTGCAAACGTGTGTGCGTGTGTTTGTGTGCAATTGATCACAACGATCACATTCCACATGGTTTCACACGTATTGGAGTGAATGAATTGGGTCAGGAGGGCCTAAGGGCTCCCGTGAATGTAAAGTTTAGTTTAGAAGAAGAGAAGAATACACATCTAGATATTCCAGACGTATTCATAAGCCACCGTAGTGATATATCCGTCCAGCTATCGGTGCATGCGCTGATGATGTGTTCTGGTGTCAAATAAGCCATCTGAAACCAATTATTTTATGACAGCTCAGTATAAGTACAATCATTCTCGAACCAATCCTGTCTTCAGTTGAATGCTTTTAAATCCATCAAATTCATTTTTAGTCTCTCCCAATCTGAATATTCCTTGGAACCTCCAGTCATCAATTCCGTACCCATCACCAGAACACATACCACAAGTACCGAGAAGCAATCTACGGTGGTCCTCTCATGTGCTAGCCTGTTCTGGTAAACTGCGTTCCTTATCCTGCCAGATTCGCAAGCTTCGACAATTTAGAGTGAAGCATTGAACCATATGTTCTTTGTTTATCAATGCATCCACTCAAACCCGATCTATCTGTTTGCCGTTACCACGCTACAATCCGATCCAATTACCGCTGTTTACCTTTCCGCCTACACATTTATCCAAATTCGTATTCTAACGGGCAAGAAGAAGATCTTGAGCGAACTAATTTTAAATGTACAAAGATAATCTTTTGGTTACTTTTTGTCATTGTTTTATATGGCTTTTTCATTTTTTTGTATCCCATTGTGACGGTTAACACATTTCATGGCTGAAATGTAGTCATATTTGCTTGCAAACGTCACAATACAATACAATGCAAATAGGAACGGACAGTATAATCATTTCCAAAATTTTGAACACCTGCAAAGATACCATTGCTGGTGAGATTCAATTTTTGTGAAGTGTTTTTGCACATATAGGATACCCAGAACGATTTATTGATAAGGTAATCCTGGGACACGAGGAAGTATGAGCAGTTAAGAAACCTGTATATGTGCATCCGCCATTCTGAGGAGATACATAGGCATAAATTATTGAAAGCTCTCAGTTACGTGGTTCGGACAGGGTAGAACGTCTAAGCTGCCTAGTACACCTCAATATTCAATCGAGCAGATGACCACGGTCACAACGGGGAAAGTGTTTACGGTTCGTACGCCTCATCTTTGTTGGTTTAAAATCAAGGTATTCGACCAAATTCTCTAGATAAGCTGCTAGTGGTTCAGCAACCTGTATGTTTTCGTCTTCTCAATTTGGTGGGAGAACACCGTCATTTGAATGCAATGAGTAAGGCTTCTTCGGAAGTAACTGTCTGAGATGCTTGTTCTTATAGGCGTGTTACGAGGGATGCAGGGATAGGGTGACCAGCCACAACTCAAGACAGTTACCTTCAATCATACTGAGACTCTCGAAGGCTGGGACTAGATGCATTTACCCCACGATCAGGCGCTTGTCCGACCGCGTTCGTAAACACCATCCGGATTAATGAATAACCGGTAGAATTAAAACAATTACGAGCTCAGTGTGTTTGTACCTTGTTCAACCAAATCACTCAGTGTATGTGCTAAAGCTGGTTTTGACCAATTAGCAAGCCTCTATTTAGGCAATTAAAAGTGTGAAGTATCGTTTTCCAGCCACAGCCGAAACGGTAAGTTTTTGGATTCACAATTCCCTTTTACTGTGCGCCTAGAAGCGATTCCTGCAACCACTTAATTTTCCCTGGCCGACTTCATCCACCGCAACACGTGTGAAACCACGTGAACTATTGACACTGTAATCAATTTCGCACGAACAGACATGCACACATGTTCGGAGTCATAGCTGAGACGTTAGAACTGTATTTTCCCCGTTCTTGATGTTATTCGTATTTTCAGCCTTATATAATGGCATCCTTACGAGTAGCTGAAAACGGTTTTGTTCGCCATCCTGTGTTTTTCTCAATGTTTCCAACCTTCGGAAGTACGCGAAGTCACGTGATTGGAAATTGAACTTTGATAAGCAGGAACCGGTCAATTTTTATCTCTTAGAGGAACATTGGACAGGTTCACTAGTACAGTGATTTCTGTTCCAGCATATGAGATATTCCATTGGAATAATATCACCATGGATTTGGTTTCTGCGATTTGAAGGCGACCAACGTTCAACAACTGACAGAATAGCTCAATCTAGAACGTAAACATTACCAAAGGCTATGGTTATTCCGGTAACCTAGTGGAAATGTTTAGGAATGATTATCGTGGACGCTGTGTGTAAATTTCTTCCAATACAAATCAGTATGGACTGCTGAGAATTCTAAAATGGAATGAAATGTTTTACATCATTTTCTGAGGCATTTTTACTAACTTACTTCGGGTATGAAAACCTTAACCAGGAGTCTGGGTCGCATAGGTCCCGTTAGGCCCCCTGGATGGGAGCCTCGGGATGATCGTAACCGATGGTTAGAGACACTGAGTGATATGGCCAAGTGTCGTAAACAGTGGCGTTTGTGTATGTTGTCAATTTCTCTGCAACATTAGTCCACTGAAGTTGTAAATTTTCTCTCTGATCTCGCTTTTAACCTTCCATGTCTTTTTCCTAATGTTCATCCAAATGGGCAGCCAATAGACAGCAACCAAAATCGGCGCTCGACAGTGCTCGACAGTTGTGCAAACTGAAAACTGAAACAGAACGAAGGTCATTAGTGTTACTTAAACGTCTATCTATTTATTCAACCAAAAATCAAATCCACCTTTGTAGGATAGACTTTTCTACTGGTCATCGTTAATAGGCTCATTAATTGTCTTATTCGTAAACGGCTATGTAAAACAAATTCGTGAACACAATTTTCTTATTTTCCAAATGAAAAATATTTGCAATATCTTGTGATATGTATATATGTATGCATATATTTTGATATTTTTATTATTCGCGACACAAAAGAGGTCAGGGAGGAAATATTTCATCTTTAAATACACCACCTATTCTGCTGAAAACTCTTCTGTGGTTCAACAATGAAAATTTCCGAAACCAAGGCTGACGGTTATCTGAAACTAATGGTATGTTCCCGTGCCTATAATGAGGTTTTCCCATTCCGTTGTGCGGCATACAAGGTTGGCCGATAAAACCGACCAGGATGCTTTAATAGGATCTCGTTGTTGGCATGGAGTACATCACAAATCCCAATGATTTACCTGTTTTCCGACGGTTAGCATACTATGTGCACTACTTGCTGTACACCCCATCATATCCATGGTAATATCCGTGTTTAAGATCAAATCTATTTCCAATGTGATCGTGTGTAATTTCATTTTGAAAATAACTCTTTACGCACATAATTTTTGTGATATCCAGGCTAAAACCACGTATGAGGAGGCTGTATCTACTGGCCATATGGCATTCATGGCTGAACAAGACGAGCACTGTGAAGATTTGTTCCAACTGAAGTTGGGTGCTATTCCAAGCAAGGCCAAAGTGACTGTGAGAATAAAGTACGTTGGACTGATCGATGCCGAAAATACGGAATGCGATGGGAAGAAACAATCGATTGCCCGATTCACCTTACCCACAGTGTTAAATCCCCGTTATCGTCCTCAAGGTGAGTTGCTTTTACCACCTAGCACTAACAGTTTCTACCTTTTAACAAAAGATATGAACAAAGGGGAGTTTCAGCCGTTGTCAGAAGAAGGCGGTTTGAAGCCCTATGTGGCCAAATTTCACGCAGAAATCAACATGCCACTCACGGTTGTCAGTGTCACCTCACCCGTGGATAAATTTGATACGGAATGGACTTCATCCGACCATAAAATGGCAAAAGTAAGTTATGAACTCATGGAGTGGGAGATTTTCGGAAATTCCAGTTATGTTACACATCTTCGCTTCATTTTAGCTTTTCACTTGCATGACCGAATACTAAACCATATTGTTGTGAGGTCCTACTCACATTTGTGAGTAGTGTGTGCGCACAGGGAAGCGGTTTTGGGATTTTCACGGCATCTGTGCGTGGGTTTATTATCACTGTGATGACAGAAGAGGCAAACCGGCTTTCGGCCTAACGATCGTCAATGAAAAGACGTTCGCCAAAATGCTAGCCAACTGTTATAAATTGAATGTTTCGTTCTGTATAATCTTGTTCACCCCTATCCTATGCTGTTATTGAAGGAAACAGCTCTCCCCGGCTCGATATTAGATTTATGGCATCATAAAAATAGTAGTCGGTGACTTAAATCTCTTTAAATTTGATTGCATGTAGAGGACGATCGATCTTAAAACTGAGTCAGAGTTTCTGAGATCACTTTAGTGAAGAAGTTTGCTGCAACTGAAGTTCCTTTCACACTTGAAATGTGTTTTATCGGCATTTGGATGCCTCTCACGTGACCCGATTCCTGTTTCCATCCGTACCGATGTTATCCAATAAAATTAGCAAATTCACGTACCCGTGGTAACATCGATACAGGAGAAGAGGATTGAAAATGTTTATGTTACTACTCTTTGTGCACTCCTCCGCTTCGTCCTTTATTTCGAATAGACTCTTTACTGATTCTTTCAAATAACAATGTCTTTTTAACTTCTAAATGACATTTCTATTTGTGATCAGGTCAAGTTAACCTCGGAATTAAAAGGTGATCACGATTTTCAAATGATCATCCACATGGATGGCCACCTGAGTACGTTTGCTGTATGTGAACATGGACACACGGAGGCGAGTAACATCCTGGGGATGGACTGTTTGATGACTCAATGGATGCCGGATTTCTCTCAGTTTCAACATAAACAGGAATTGAGAACGGAACTGTTCTTCATTATCGATCGGTCCGGTGAGTTGATGCATTTTGGCTGGGTGGCTTCTAAGGGAAATATCATTCCACCCTCAGGATACTTTACTTTTATAAGTGTTGGTTCTTCCTGTCACCCGATATAATCCTTGAAATCGCTTTAACTTTTGTTCTTGAATTCCCCGGTTGCAGAGGGATTGGTGTAGTCTTTACCTTGCTCACGTCTTTTACTGCTGTTTGATGACGTGAGGTGAGAAGCAGGTGTCAGTCAACTATCAGTCAAGCAATGACTAGTGATTTTTACGAATGGCGCTTCATTCAAGAATTGTTAGACTGTCGCAACGTCTCTACCTCGGCCATTAAATGACTTCCGCGTTCTCCCAACTATCGTGGAGATGGCCCGCAAATAATGAAAGTAACTCTTGGGACGCCGGAAATGGTAAACACAGTGCTCCAGTCGTGGTATGACCACAGAACCAAGGGGCCCAATGAGCTACGCTTGAGACCGATGCTGCATTCAGTACCGAAAAATTGTCCACCCGTCGAAACAGTCAATCACATTGCGCGTGAAACACTGCAAACGTCATGCTTCACCTCAACCCCATCAGACCAAACCCAACAAAAACCTACGGCAAAAAACGTCTGCCGGCCGACGACGAGGTCGGCCAAATTACGTCCCTAAACTCCAATGGATTTCTCCATCGACAACCACTGAACTGTTTCTATACCAATTCTCAGGGTTTTTTCAGTAAGTTTCCGGAAATGGAA